CTGAGGTCTTTGAAAACTAGAAGGTGAAAAGGTGGACAGGATAGCATTGGAATGGTCTAGTCTTGAAACCACAACAGCCTGGATGTGGGTTTCAACAGCAGATGGACGAATAGATGGATGTAGATGGTATTGGAAATGGGTGATGTTACAGACGGGACAGAATTCTGTCTGCTCTGTCAACTTGATGAATCATTTTAAGCATATCAGTTAGATCATCTCTTACTTTTCCATATTCAGGGGAATACAAGCTCAGTCTGTGTAATCTGTCCTCATAATTAAACCTTTTAGCCCCAGAACATTCTGGTGAATCTACACTGCACTCTCTCTAAGGCTAATATATCCTTCCTGAGGTGCGGTGCCCAGATAGAGCTCTGTACAACAGCAACATAACTTCCACAAAGTCACAGTTGGTTTTGGGAGCAGAAGTTGTGGGTTATCTTTTCTCTTCTGGATGTGAGAAGCAGTGAGAGTGGCCAGGAAGGGAAAAAAGAAAGAGAGCCAAGGTATTCTTTAGAACGGGGATGTTGAAGATGGATATGAGGGAGTGACCAAAGCAGAGTGACAGCGACAGAAACATTGTGGTGACTGGAAGGCCAAAGGACAGAGAGTCAAGAATTAGAAAGCACTGTCCATCTCACATTGGGGAGGAGAGACTTCCAAGAATAAAACTGATTGGTCAATGACCCACATGATCACTGACTCTCTGTAACCATTGATGGGTTTGTATGAAGGAAACAAACTCCATACTGTGTTACTAAAGTTGTGTCATTTCTGACCATCAGAATTGGGAGCCAGACTAAAGCACAGGGATTTTAAAGAAATTTCTATCTCTAGTATTCTGAGAGAGTACCCCCTGATGTGAGTGTGCATGAATTAGTAAAATGAGCCATCTGTCAGGAATGGGTATGGGGTAGAATCAGTTGGGGATGTGAATTACAGACAGATCCTGTTCAGGTGACAGATGTTTGACTAATACTATGGGGAATGTTTGTACTCTCCTGTCTGGGAGGACGACTAATCTGAAGTATGATGAGAGAGTGGGGGCAAGTCTCTACAGACCTGAGTTCCCTCAGTTCATCATAGCTAAATGTAATAATGGTGTGATATGTTCACCTTACACTCTTCCAAGATTCATTTCATGTTCTGGGAAAGACTTGAGTCATTTTCAAATTTTTAATTGTTCTGTTTGATTCAAATTTAAAATTCATTTTCAAATTTATTGTCTGTAGGTTATTAATCTTTTGTAATTTAATTTTTATCCAAACTACTTTACTGTCATCATGGTGTGTTTCCTATTCACTGAAACATTCAGGATCTTACAGTAAGTCTCCTGTACACTGTATATTGGTCAATGGCACTGTGGGCTGGGATACTTTCTCCGTCAATGGGTTTATAATTACCAGTTCACAAGAAACAGAATAGTCCCTAAAAAAGAAAGGCTGCATTTATAAAGCACCTTTCACAAACAGGAGGAGCCAGAAAATATGTTACAACTGAAGAAGTGTCTTTTTTAAGTCATAGAAATACGAGGGGGCATGCATTTTAGGTGAGGGGTGAAAATTCAAAGGAGATGTAAGGGACAAGTTTTTTACACAGAGAGGTAGGTGCCTGGAACGCACTGCCAGGGGTGGTGGTGGAAGCAGATATGATAGGGGCATTTAAGGGGCTTTTACATAAGCACATGAATAAGCAAGGAATGGAGGGATATGGACCATGCATGGGCAGAAGGGATTAGTTTAACCTGGCATCATGTTCAGCACAACACTGTTGGGCTGAAGAGCCTGTTCCTGTGTAGTACAGTTCTATGTTCTATGAAGTGCAGTTCATCTCCAGATGGATTATTCCATGGATTAGTAGACTGGTTAGCAAGGTTAGATCACATGGAATCCAGGGAGAATTAGCTATTTGGGTACAGAACTGGCTTGAAAGTAGGAGAGAGAGGGTGATGGTGGTGGGTTGCTTCTCAGCCTGGAAGCCTGTGACCAGCGGTGTGCCACAAGGTTCGGTGCTGGGTCCACTGCTTTTTGTCATTTATATAAATGATTTGGATGTGAATTTATGAAGTATAGTTAGTAAGTTTGCAGATGACAACAAAATTGGAACTGTGGTGGACAGTGAAGAAGGTTACCTCAGAGTACAACAGGATCTTGATCAGATGGGCCAATGGGCTGAGGAGTGGCAGATGGAGATTAATTTAGATAAATGTGAGATACTGCATTTTGGAAAGGCAAATCAGGGTAGGACCTATGCACTTAATGATAAGGTCCTGGGGAGTATTGCTGAACAAAGAGACCTGGGAGTAGAGGTTCATATTTCCTTGGAAGTGGAGTGACAGGTAGACAGGATAGCGAAGAAGGCATTTGTTATGCATGCCTTTATTGATCAGTGCATTGTGTATAGGAGTTGGGAGGTCATGTTGTGGCTGCAAGGACATTGGTTGGGCCACTTTCGGAATACTGCATGCAATTCTGGTCTCCCTGCTATAGGAAGGATGTTATGACACTTGAAAGGGTTCAGGAAAGATTTACAAAGAAGTTGCCAGGGTTGGAAGGTTTGAGCTATAGGGAGAGGCCAAATGGACTGGGTCTATTTTCCATGGAGCATCAGAGGCTGAAGGGTGACCTCATAGAGGTTTATAAATCATAAGGGGCATGGGTAGGATAAATAGACAAGGTCTTTTCTCCAGGATGAGGAAGTCCAAAACTAGAGGGCATAGGTTTAAGGTGAGAGGGGAAAGATTTAAAAGGGAACTTAAGGGCAACTTTTCCGTGCAGAGGGTGGTGTGTGTATGGGATGAGCTGCCAGAAGAAGTGGTGGAGGCTGATACAATTACAACATTTAAAAGGCATCTGGATGGGTAGATGAATAGGAAGGGTTTGTAGGGATATGGGCCAAATGCTGGCAAATGGGACAAGATTTATTTCGGATATCTGGTCGGCATGGATGAGTTGGACCAAAGGATCTGTTTCTGTGCTCTCAATGATTTTGTGTAAGTCTCACAAAATTATCCAGTCAATGTACACAAAATAAAATTTGGTCACCCTTCTATAGGAAGTTGTTAAACTTGAAAGGGATGTGGAAAAGATGTACAAGGATGTTGCTGGTACTGGAGGGTTTGGATTATAGAGAGAGGCTGAATAGGCTGGGGCTTTTTTCCCTGGAGTGCAGGAGACTGAGGGTTAACCTTGTGGAGCTGGAGGAACACAGCAGACCAGGCAGCATCAGAGGAGCAGGAAAGCTGACGTTTCAGATTGGGACGCTTCTTCATTTCTGAAGAAGGGTCCCGACCCGTAATGTCAGCTTTCCTGCTCCTCTGATGCTGCCTGG